ACTGTATTTATCCACCAATTGTTACGTGGTTGGCTGTTATACAAGAAGTCCAAACTGATGTTTATACTAAATTAAATAGTTTCCATTTAAAACACTTTCCTAAAGATAGGACAAAGAACGATAACTAAAAAATGAAGACAAAATCCAACAGTAGGTACCATTAAGTAGAGATAAGTCGGTATCAATTTTTAAATCTATAGGTATCATTCAACTATTAAATTTAAATAAAATATTTTTTACCAAACATATTTTAACAGCGTCATAAAAATTAATGGCAAATATATCTTATATTACTCGTATATAATAATAATTTAATGTGCACAAATTAGTGGCGGTTATAACTGACTTTTAAGGGCAGGGGGGAGAATTATAAAAATCATAGGACATTAATGAGTCGTTGGAGAGTCCATCATTTTTCCCCAATATTTTGAAATAACGCAAATACTTCAAATAGAACAAACATTTTTTATTATACATAGTATATAATGAAATTATCCAAAATAGGTTCATATCTTGTACTTACAATTAAATTAAAAAAAGTATAGTCACAGATGCACAGTTAATCAACCATTTTAATAATAAAAATCTACAATAAAAGTATATTTCTTTTTTTTTTTGTTAAGCAAAACGTGTAATAATGTTTTCTTTACCTATAGGAATATCTTTATGAATGTGGAGTAATGCTAGCCCATTCAACCTTTCTTCGCCAATTGTTGAACTTAACCATGTTTTCAGCCTAATAATTAGATTAAAAAAAGGTTAAAAATGTATAACAATTCTAATAAAACAATGATTTGGCTACTTAACAAATAGTTAATAACAGTATTATGTGAATCATCTTTTTTGAATATTAATTTATGTTAAGTAAAGTTGTATGATATTATATGAATAATAGATAGGTACTAATATTTAAATGTAAACTTATAGTAGGTAAGTCTTATACCTACCTTTTTAGTGTTGAGAAACTGCGTTCTGCTGTCACGACACTGATTGGTAGTGAACAAATAATAATCAAAATTGTATGTATATTTGGAAATATAGATTCTGGACACATACTTAGAGCATCCAACCCATGAACTAGAATATTTTTTCCTAAAAAAATACATTTAAATTAAATTAAATTATCAGTTAATTAGGTATATTAAAATATATATTTTACCTTCCGCTTGAAGTCTAAGTCATTTAGTAAACCACATATTTATTTCATTCTTTATGGCTTGTTGGGAAATATTTTGAAAGTATGTGTGATCTCTAGTCATTATTTCTATATTTTTTGCCAAATAGCCATTGTAGTCTTCAGTTTTCATTTTGAATACCTACATATTTTGGTATAAGTTGTATTAATAAAGTAATATTTGAATTTTCCTTGCTTAAGAATCGGAAATCAAAATCTTCTAATACATTATATCAAATAAAGGAATGTTAATATTAATTCTATAATAATCAACAGGGTTATTTGATGATGTAGCATTAACTCTATGTTTTTGATTTGTTATGATCCCGGGTAATTTAATGTCAACATCAAGTTTGTTTAGAATTAATTCACACTCATTAAACATAGATTGAAATTTTTTTTCACATTTTTCACGATTTTGTCCAAGTATTAAGTATACATCTTTGATACATTCAGATGCAGCAACAATATCTTGATCTTTGCCTTGTCAAATTTTACTTATCGGAAAAGTAATTAATTAAAAGTAATTAAGAAACAGCTAATAAATTTGATAATGAAAAAAGAAAAAAATGAAAATCACAATTACAAATAGCAGATATCATTTTAGCTCTTGAAGAAGAAATATTATCCTGTCATTCAGATATTTCAGTTAAAGTGTCAATAATTTCAATTATTGATTCCTTAAAATGCAATACACTGTCGTGCATTTCTATCTATCGCGTTTCGCATAAATTATGTAATTTTCTATGGTTAGTCAAATATTGTTGAAGAACGTAATTACGTTTGGCAGATCATGAAAAAAAGAAGTAACTTCTTTAAATACTCCAACACAGTTGCGAATTGATTGTACAGTAAACGATTTTGAAGTACTTAAATTTAAGGCATGATTTGAGCAAGGACTATGTATTGCATTTTTCTTATTTGTTGGACAGCGCCGTGGACTGCAGATAAAACGGAACAGCCATCGGTCCCAATGCCTACACAGTAATTTAAATCTAATTCTAATTATTGCAATAGTTTTACGACTATATTTCCCAAAAGTTCTCCAGTTAATTTAGGTTCCAATTTACTATTTAATATTTCTTGAGGTTCATCGTCGTCTTCCAAATTAACATCTAATTGTTGGTGTTTTCGTTTATTATAAACATAGCTATGACAATCAATAAATGTTAAACATTTTTCATACGATTTTCCATGTAAAATATACCGAATAATTAAACACATTTGAATTAATAATAATTTTGAATTAAATTTATTAACTCATCTATTTCAGTGATCAATACGGTCCTTAATGTATAGTACCTAGAGTGGTAGACACATGGTAGACACATGGCCATCGTTTTTTTTTTTTTAAATAGCTGAATAAATATAATTTTTAGATTTTTTGGTTACATAATTTTAAAATTTAAATCCTTATAACTACAAAAAAATTTGTTAATTTTCAATTTGATAAATTATGTCGACATTTGAACTTTAAATTATGCTTATAAAAAAAAATCTTGCCTATATATATTTTTTATACTTTTTAACTGTTGTTATAAGTTTATAACAATGTGCGATTTTGTATACATAGCTTACAACAATTCAAAATATTTTGAAAATGTTATGAAACGTAGAAAATAATAAAATTAAGATACCTATATCATAAATTTCAAGTATTTACGGTTGTTCGTTTTTGAAAAAAAAAAATTAGAAAATCACTCCATGAGAAATCGAGTGAATATCTAATGTTAATTTTAAACTTCAAAAGCTCTTAAAATTATTGATAATTTACGCTCAAACTTTTTTTTTAATTCCACTTACAACTACTTACTAGTTACGAATAAGCTTGTATTTCATTTTCAATTTTTTTATCGACTAATTAAACATAACTAATAATAATCAAAAATAATATGCCTATAAATAGTACAAATAAATCAATATGAGTCAAAATATTTTTAAAATGTTATTGTGTTTAGGAAATTCTAATATAATATTCAGTAAAATCTCCTCATGTACGTTCATTTTTTAGGATTATACCAAAAAGCAAAATCGATTTTGTTAAAATATTATGGTTATGTCTAATATATTTTTTTCTTAATTTTATTTTTCGTTTTTCCGAGTGCTTTTGAAATTACTGGAAATTTTAATTGCATTCTTATTTTTCAAATGCTCCAACTAAATTAATTTTCTCGTCGGAATAGGTATTGAAGTTGAAAATCGAAGCATTATTTCGACTACTTATCTTGTACAATGTACACATACAAAAAATAAAAATAATTGTCAAATCAATAAATTCATCGCTCCACTCCAGAATCTAATGACATAGATATTACAACTCTATTATGTAAATTTTTTTCTTCACTTTAATATTAGTGAAACATCACCAATGATTATTAACAATGAGAAATGGAGGGTGAACGATTAGGTATAAATTTGATAAAAAATGCTAGTATAACTGAACTTGCAAGCGAAGTGATCTGTTTTTTTTTTTAATTTATGTAGGTATTTGTAATTTGTGCTAATTAAAATTTTTCCTCCTTCTACTGAAAACTGAAATGATGCCATTGTATATTATATATTATGTGGGTAACTATATACACCTTAAATGTAGCGTTTAAGGATTCTGCTTTAACATTTTAGTAATAAATAAATTAAGTAGGCACCTAATAGGTATGACACCATTACATTAATTGTTAATAAAAGTGTAATAAATATTGAATTTTATTAATACGAATTATAAGAAAGTCGAATGAGGAGGTTTAGTTAGTCAGTTAGTTTGATTATTTTAGTAAACAATTCAAATTTTTTAGTATCTTAAAGTATAAGTGAAAATTAAAGAATTCTTATGGGTAGGGATAATACACTAGTCATCACAGTTTTAGTCTCTGCTCAGTATTAAGTAGTTAATTTTTTTTTTTTAAGTCTTCTTAATTTAAAACATCTGATGAATATTTTTCAATAGGCAATAGACAACTTAGAGATAAGATTCGGTTACATAGTTGACCTTATATCCTTACATAAGTATTTATTCGGCGCATTGTTGATACTAGTTATGGAGCTTATTGGAACAGAATGTGATAATTGTAGCATTCTATATAAATTCAGAAAAACAGTTTTTTGAACAATAATAGGTACCTACTCTTTAACTGCTTTAAATTTCTCTGGTTATTGTTAATCTTTATTCTTTTCTAATAATTTATTATCTGGTCTGCACTTTAACTATGTCAGTGAGGCTAAAATAAAAGTTGGGAGGCTTTCCTTCTATAAGCCTCGCGCCCTTAGTTGAGACTATGAACTGATGAATACAAATCAAACGGTAATGCGGTAGTTTCTTACAGTATATTTGTAATTTTTTTTACATTATTTACATAATATTTGCATGCTAAAAGTCAGAATGGTACAGTCTACATTAATTGTATCATGTAAAAATGTACGTTAAAAACAGTCGTGAATATTAAGTAAAAAATAGTCTCTCCGATGAAAAAAACCCAAAACACACGTAGGTACTGCGCGTCTCTGTTGACCATAATAATTATACCGACCGTATGATAATGAGGAGCACTGATCGCAGGAGAGCACATGAGAAACGTGAATGGAGGAATTTTTATGTGTGACTAAGCAAAATTTAATATAATAATGTTGTGTTGCATTTGCTTGTTCATTCAAAAAACGTATCGATCGTTCCTCAATAATTGTCGTCTACACTGTAAAATTAAATTAGCATAACGCTAGATGGCGTAGTAATCTTCTCGGACACTTGAGAGTCGAGACCGCCGTCGACATTTTATAATATAATACCTACGTGATTCCGTTCAAAGCCCCAGGCAAACGTTACGTACTTTTGCAGAGAGTTACAACGCATAGCGATATCGAGGCGGACGGAGTGATTTTAAAATATCGATGGCTTTAATTTGCTATTAAATGTAAGTATCTAATATTTCTATATTATGTACACAATGATACTGTAATGGATATAGTAGTTTCAACTACCTAAATAAATTTATTATTAGTATTTAGTAATGCTTGTAAGTGATATTTAATATTATTACGTTAGGATTCCAACTATACTGTAGAGTGTAGAGGACTTTTCTATACCTAATATATTAATAATTATATTATATTATTATATTATATTAATAATATATTTTTAGTTTTTAATTTTTTTTTAAAAAACCATTATTTATGCTTATTGTACTTTTTTTTATGTATATATTGTATAATTTCTAGATTAAAAATTTAAAAAATAAAAAAAAAAAAATAATATATATTAAAGACTATAGCTGTGTTAGGAACAATTAATACGATCACAAAGGTATTATGCATTATAAAGCTTTAAGAATATAAATTTATTTCTTACGTAACATTTACTTTTAGGACAGTACCTATACCTAATTATATTTTACATGCAATTTTTTGTTGAATATATCATAAATTTAAAAAAATTCTTAAACTATTATCTATTTAACGGACATTGTACATAGTTGAAAATTATTTCATATACCTATACAAAATTTCTAAATAATAAGTAGGTATTATTAATTTAAATAATTAATAAATTCAATTAAGTATTAAAAACAAATGGTTATAAAAATTAATTTTAAGTGCATATTTTTAACGCATAATTTTGGGTTCTTAAGTGGAATTATACATGTCTGTAAAGAGATTTTTTAGAGACATTCACTTTTAATATTCCTATGCCATATAGTTATAATCTTAGTTACGCGACGATATTAATCTGACGACAAGCTATAGGTTCAAAATGTGTTGCATTTGCATGTTGTATTCTTGACATAGAATTAGGTTTGTTAATATATGAAAAAGTTATTTTTTTTTTCTTACAAAAAAATAGTGGGCCTCACTGGGTGAAACTTTTGCGGAGGCCAAAAGCAAGGTAAAAATTTACGATTCATGATATATAAAATTGTTTTTTGAATAGTTTCGTATATAAACAGCTTTTAATTTTAATAAATTAAATGTTCTTAATTTAAGATTACATTTTTTGCATATCTGTTATTTATAATATCAACGTTTATTTAGTACCTACGTTTGTTTTAATACGGTTTATAATAATAATTATCGGATTATAAATTTTAATTTGAGGCATTGTAGGTTTTACATTTTAATTTTTAATCCTGTAAACGTATCTTATACCTACGTATCAATCGATACTCCAAATTTGCCATAGAAGTGATGGATATACAATAAAATCATACATAGTCACTAATATTAAAATAATCATTACATTAATGACTAAAAAGTTTGTAAATTTTAAATAACATCACACTATAATATTTTACATAATATTATATATAAAATATACAGAATATACAAAACTTCTGCCATATATTACAATACACTACATCCGTAATGTCAACTATTGGTTATTGCTGCAAATTTTTTGAATTATATATTCCTATTAACCTGTGTATATTTTTTTACAATCTCACTAATTTTACCAATAATAACACAAATTTAAGCGAATTAAGCTATTTCAATAATTTTTTGAATGAAATTATATTCATACTGTAACACTGATACGATTTTAGGTGTGAGATAGAGTCTTTGAAAATTGAACCATAATATATTATAGTGCAATTTGCGAATACTTTATTCTAAGTTTTTAGTATAATATATTTGATCGGAAAAAAATTCATCATTTCAACTATTGATGTCCATCGATGTCAAACGATCAAATATTATTTTGTTCATTATTAAATTTAGGTAGGTATAACTTTTCGTATTTTTCTTTTTTGTATAACCTATATTTCGATCGGGTTTTTAAGAACCAATTTTAAAAATGTGTATCTATGATTTGAGATTTTCTATATTTTACAAAAATATTAGTTTTTCAACTTATTGTCTCGTTGTTCAGAAAACTCATGAGGTCACCCAAGTATCCCATTCCTGTTTTTAGTTTTGAGATAAAAATACTTAAGAGCATTAATGATCATGCCGTGGTTTTTGAAGTATGGCAACTCAAAAGCGTTCGTTTTTCTACGACGATAGTATTATTTAAAGCAGTTTTACTATTTAAATTAAATTGTTTTGGTTCTATCCGACACTCAACATAAATACTTATAATCATAATCAGACATGCTTACATTCCAATAAGGGTGGTATTAAATATTTATACTTTGTTAAAGTAACAATTTAAAAAAAATTTAAATTTAAATTTAAAAAATTAATTAAAAACCTTTTTATAGTTACATAATATTAAATATATATATATATATATACATAGTTTACATTAGAAGAAAAATTTGATTTTAGAAAATGCGCACAATTGTCGATGGTGCAATAACACGGTAGGATATAATATACAGGGTGATTCTTTTATCAAACAACACTCATTATTATTTAAAAAAATATTTTTTTAGACGTTTTCAAGTTGTTAAAAAACCAACGTTTTTATTAAAAAATTATATTTTTAAATATTTTTGATCATTATAATTTTTTAAGTTTTTTACCTTTTTGAATGACAACATAGAGTTTTAATTTCATATTCTAAAGCAGAATATTTTTCTAAGTATTTTGAATCATAAAAATCGAATTTAGGGCTAGTAGTTTATGAGTTATAAGTATTTAAAGTTGGTTTAGGTGTAATATACAACTATAAACTTTAATTAATATAAAAATAATAATAATATATGATATATTATATATTTATATAATATGTTTTATATTTATTATATATATTATATAATTAAACTATTAATATAATAAAGTATACAATGTGTGTATAAATAAATCGAATGCAGAAGTAGGTAGCTATCTGTTAAAATCAATTTATACAACAATAATAATATGGCAATATAATTATGTAAAATACTATTTTTAACTTATACGTTATAACTTATAATACTTATTACTTATTGTGTTTCTGTTTCAGAACTGATGTGGAAATCGCTATTTGATTGCCATTTCTTAATGTCGTTATTTATTCTTCGATTGGCGTCGCTGACGATCGAACTATCATAATATATATATATATGGGTCACAATGACGTATGATGCAGCATAACATCGGAGGGCGAAGGAACGCAAGCACACACTACTGAGAAGAGCCAGTCAATCAATCTCTAACGCCCTCGCGTAACACTTGCTGGTTAGGATGCGAGTAACAGCTACGCACTCCACACTATAATATCATCATATTAATGTTATAATATCTATCTACGTTTTTCTTGGAGCGATTAAATGTATTTTTGTTTCGTCGAGCTGGAGTGGACTTGACGCGCTGATACAGATATTTCAATAGCTCTTCGCATCTAAAACAATACATGTAAGTACCTAATCTAATCTAACCTGTGTGTAGTTACATACAACATATAGGAATTATTTTGGGACAATTATAGTTTTTGAGGGCAAGGGGGTTATAATTATGACACATAAGTGCACTGCGGTAGCATTTAGACGAACTTTGAGATCACGTACAATTAACAGTATATACACTTATACGTCCATCTATCCATTAACAATTTTTTTACATAAACACCATCAGTTTTCACCCACTACCTTCCATAAGATGCATAGTTTCAATATTTGCAGGACACCTGTCTAGGTGCCACTGAATTATACATACATTACGCTATTATTATAAACACACGTTCTTATGTATACTCCACTGTCTGAAGGGTTCCAATTAATTGATTAATAGGGAAAATCAAATTTTTATTTAACAGTCACGCATGCAATATAATCGTATTTAATTTCCTAAGTCAAGATACATAATATTATTACGTAAAAAATTATTTTTAGAAAAAATAATTGATCGTACACAAACCAAATCCATAGGTACAAGGTACATAACAATAATATCATTCGTGAATAATATTTCTTTTTTACAAACAACTACCTACMTACGTAGTGCATTGGTACATTTTGAGGGAAGGCAACTAAAACGTGTAGTGATACAATAAATTATACGCTACAATATGTTTTTAATAACTAATTAATATTTGTTCCATGTTTAGTATAMATACTCAAAATCCTATACAATTTTTAATTGGGTAGGTACATAATATAACAAAGACACAATATTAAACTTTAAAGTGTTAGTTATAATACTACTTAAATTTGTTTCCTACGATATTATTTAATTTATAATATATAAAATCCAACTAAATCGCTAATCAGTATCCAATATATCTGTGCGTCAAAAACTGCACATAGCATATCGCACATTTTTATGTTTTTATAATAAAATATATTTAGTTATTAATATTTATATCCGATGGAGTTTTATGTTTAATGGTTGTATATCTCAATATTTTAATAAATAAAAATGTTTTTACATCGTATATGTACATGAATGTATATGCATGCAGAATGGCGTCTATTTATGTAAACATCAACTAATTGTTATAGAAGTTAATTATTTCTCGTGATCTATGGCCATATTGGTACTTTATATAGTTTGTTTATCGTCCACAATCATAATATATTAATATAATTACACGAGTAGGTATACCTATAGTATAGCTTAGATGAGTAGTAAAATCTATTCGCTGTTTTAATTATTTTAAATTTTAAATATAAGTAGGTATATAACCAAATGCATTTATAGCAGTTTATCCAAGCATAGTTTTAATTTTATAATTTTTTTTTTTTTGATAGTTTAAAAATTTATTCTCGATTAAAATTAAACTTATTATTTTAAGTCGAAAACCGGTGGTCCAACGGGTTTTTATTTTATCTCAAATCAAATATATCAATGATTACGTGTTAGGACATAGATACATAAAGCTGTTGAGCACCTATGTATATACGCGTAATAGTTACTTCATAGTTTATAGTGTAGATTAAAGAGATAGGCATTTAAATAATAATAATAATGAAATACATCTTGACCGATAAAATATAACGTATTGGTTGGCGTACTGCAGTTGTTTCAATTTACATATTTGAGTAGGTGTCACTGACTTTGCGCCATAGACGTACTAAGTAGATGAGGTATCCTTTTTGAGAACAACAGTGCTACGACTCCGAGATTAAGTGTAGGCAACAAAACAAAAATTAATTGACAGTTTGTATTTTATAAAGCTGTATCTGAATTTTGTACTATAATTTATTTTTACCGCTGTATTAGAATATTTCCATGTATACTGGTGGTATGTTTTTTATTTTTTTTTTATGGATATTATCTAAATCTCAAAAATATATTACATTATATGATTGATTTCATCACATAAAATTTTTTTTTAGTTAAGTGCATAATAATGGAAGCGGTTCAAAATAACTTAAAGGGCCCTAAGTATTCCACCTTATTTTGAATACCCAATGCATCTAGAGATACGATAGATAAAACACGTTTACTAAATATATCATCATATAAATCATGTACAACCCATATTTTATGAATTACTACGTGACTGATTTTATTTATGATTACATTTTAGACCATTTGTATCAAATAATTCTTTATTATAAATTATATGAATGAGCTAAAATATAGGGGTTTACTCACTGAAGAGTTTTTTTTTATAAATAATTTAATGCTTACAGAGGTATTATCACATGTTTTATATGAAATTGTTTGTAAAGATACCAACTGAGTGAATTAAAATGTTTGAATGAAAAAAATATTGGTTTGGTAGTTGAGAAAAATTACCATATTTATTGGTATAATTTTATATGATAATATTTTTATGATTGTCCATTATTATTCAATATTAATCGTACAAAAATATATATCTATATTTATTAAACTCGTAATTTTCTCATTAAAAACCTTGTTATTATTTATTACTGCAGCTATTTGGATTATATGTTAAATATTCTTAATAATTTTTATTCGTGGACGTAGGATTTGTAGTAGTTATATCTATTTAATCGATTAATAAATTTCTCTTGGAAACTAAAAATATGTAAGATCTGTTATCGAAGGTTTTTATAGTTAAAAAAAAAAATTAAATAAAAATTCCTTTTAGTGTCAAATTATTACACGTTTATTTAGGTACTATTAGTATACTAAACATAATATAGTACCAATAACCAACGCGCCTGGCATTGAGGAACGCGTGGAACAAACGCGAATAATATCTTTTTTGTTTTGAAATTTGTATATTATTACGATTATTGTATTTGGTGGCTTAATTACCTGTATTATATTGGAATTATACGTTATAGCTTGAACAATTATTGGAACAATTTGTACCAACAATCGACACAGAAATCAATGTGGATCATACTAGGTATACTAATAGGAACATTACACCTTCAAACTTAAATCAATACACTTAATTTATTATAAAATATTGATCTACTTATAAAGCGAGTACAGTACAGGAATAATATTAAATACGAATTTACCAATTCGACTAATTAGTTAATTTGTTTTTTTTTGTTGTAGATACTTATATGCATCGGTACATGTATCTATTGCGTTAGTATTAATTTAATGTGATATTTATAAAACTGATTTTTTTAAAATCTATTTCATCATATATAATGATGATTTGAACAATTGTACAGCTTAAATTGCAAGCAGACTACATTAAGTTAGATTTTATATTAATGAAATATCGACGTTATATAATATGTATACAAATATATGTGTATGCGTGTATTTTCAAGTATCAATGCACGTAATCTCTTTGACACACAGAAATTTAAGACTTTTACGTCATCACTTTAGTATGAGATGCAATTAAAAAAAAATAATAATAATGAAATAAAAGATTTTGGCGTGAACGAACGATAAAAATTGTAAAGGACAGGGAGTGGGGGAGAGATTTTTGCGAAGGTAGCAACTTTTGTCCATAAGCACACTTGAAGCTGACTTGTGCTCTCGAAAAGTTATCAATAGTTTGCTAGCTTAGTAGTCGTCGAGCCATATTACGCATTATTAATTTAATGTGAGGCTTGATATTTTTTTTTCTCATGACCGATTTCTATAATATTCTTATAAATAAATACAAATGATTTTGCATGTAAAAATAAATTGATATTTTTCAGTTCTTTAAATATAATGAAGTTCCTCGCTTCTGTGTAGTTATCAACTTTGTATTTTAGGTTTGATTTGAAGAACTAATTTAATTTTGAAATCCATATTTTTATATTTAATAAATAATTGAAAAAACATAATACAAATATATGATAAAGTGTGGTGTTTCTCAAACTTTTTTATGCATCKTTCTCTTTTTAAAATTTACAAAAAAACTCAGACTCCAAATACTAATTATAAAAAAATATTAATAAGACATTTTTTTCTGTAACATGTATACAAATAATTTAAATGTTTCAAATAGTTTTGTTATTATATTTTTACATAGACAAAATATTTTTATAAGAATTTTAAGTTCAAATTTTAATAAAATTTGTCAAATTTAAAAATGATTTCGTACCTAATTAGAAAAGTATAAAATGTTAACTTTTATAATACAGTTTTTGTATATTTATTTTGAATTTAGATAAACTTATTTCAAGTTAAAATAAAAGAATGTAATTGTGTGAAAATATACTATTACCTAGCGGTCACTTGGCTACTTTTATTATACGACAGATATATTGAAATTGTTTTTAAGTAATTAAATTTTAAAGCGATATTGTGAAATCCACGTTCAAACTATTGAAATAAGTATTTAGCTAATTGAAGGTTCATTACAAACATTACCTATGCACAACATACATGATTATTTTTTCCTAAAATTCTGAAAACATATTATATTTGAGATTGAACGAATACATAACCTATTATGTAATAGTAGTACTTTACAATACTAATATGCCAGGTTGCATGAACAATCACTAAACATTTAATGAATCAATAATTGCGAGCTATTGATCCTTTAAACACGATTTAGTAGCTCAAGATTGATCGATTAAATTAATACGTTATATGTATCCCGAAAATTAAGATTTTTTTTATTAAACTTTAACTAGAATAAAAGTATAATATTTATGCATATTAATACATGCACGATTCTATCGATGTAACAGAAATTATAATACATCATACTTCGTAGATGTATATATTATTCAATAATTTTTTGTCAATATTAGGTACATTGTTAATCTTTTCACTGCACTAAAAACATGACTGCTGCAGAAGTGAAACGTGAAAGTCGCTCTTACATAATATAACATTATGTACCTATAATATATACCTATCATGCAGTTTATTCTCACATTGATCAGTGCAGTGAATCCCCAGATGAGTTAGTGTCATAGATTTCCATCCTGATCATCCTATGGATGGTTTATGGTTAATATTAATGGATTATATTTAATGAGTTACGTCCAAATGTATCCATCACAAAAATTCAAAATTTCGGATTTTTA